TTCGATGAGTTTCCACCCATTGCTTCTTGACCTGCCTTCAGGTGCTTTGGAGAATAGCTTGACTGCCTCTTCTTTGGGGCAGCCCCTCAGATATCAAAAGACTGCAGTCATGTCACCCCTAGTCCTTCTTTTCGTTACACCAGAAGCACCCAATTTCTGCAACCGTCCACTTGTACGTTTTAGCCTCCAGCCCCCTAATCCTCTGGGTTGCTCTTCTCTGTACTTTTTCTAGAGTCTCAATTTCTTCTTTACATGGTGGGTGCAAATATTCCTCAGGTGGCCTGATAGGATCTCGTTATCTGGGGGTTCCTGGAGGACAGGGAGACATCCCATCTTCATAGAAGATGCCGGGCGCTGTTGAGAGCCAGAAGGATGCACAAGGCCGTTGGTGGTGCAACCAGTTTGCATGGCCTTGGGGCAATGAAGGAGGATTTCTTTGCACCCTCCCTGCCTTGTGTAAAGGGGGGTGGGGTTGAGGGAGAACCTCGATGTTCTTCACCTTTCATTGTGCAATGCAATTGTCTTCTCCCTCCCCTGGGGGGGCTTATAATATCCTGGGGTGCGTCCAGACAAGATGCTATTCATCGTGACTCATCCATGGATTGGTTTTTCCAGGAGATCTCAGGTGTCAACCTTGGGAAAACATTTTTAAACTTTCTCACGTTCTCCATTTTCAAGTCCAACAATACCTAACGTCCATGACTGGGTATTGTGTCGTTCAAATCCTTCTTCCATCTAGGACATAGGTCCCCAAACTTGGCAACTTTAAGACTGGTGGACTTCAATTCCCAAAATGGCTGGCTGAGGAATTCTGGGAGTTGAAGTCCACCAGTCTTAAAGTTGGCAGGTTTGGGGACCTCTAATCTAGGAATTCCTTCCCTGTATAGATCACCACGATGTGCTCCATCCCTGGAGGTTTTTAAGAAGACACTGGACAGCCATTCTTCCAGAATGGTGTAGGGTCTCCTGCGTGAGCAGGGGGCTGGACTAGAAGACCTCCAAGGTCCCTCTCCACTCTGTTATTCTGTATATCCGGAGTTTTGGTTCTTCTGGAGATCTTGGATGCTTGGCCCATCCTTCTTTGGAGCAGGCCAAAAACACCTCGTCACCCCTAAAAAAATACCCCCTAAGAGTGTTTTTTAACCGTGACAATTTGAAGACGGGTGGACTTCAACTCCCAGAATTCCCCCAGGTAGCATGGTGGCTGAGGGACTCTGGGAGTTGAAGTCCACAGATGGTAGCTAAGGAATTCTGGGGGTTGAAATCCATGCAGGGTGGCTGAGGGATTTTGGGAGTTGAAGTCCACTCATGCTGGCTGAGGAACTCTGGGAACGGAAGTCTACACATGGTGACTGGAGATTCTGGGATTGAAGTCCACCCATGTTGGCTGGGGATCTCTGGGAGTTGAAGTCCATAGATGGTGGCTGAGAGATTCTGGGAATTAAAGCCCACACACTGTCAAGCTGCCAAAATGTAGAAACGTTGACCCAAAATGTTTTGTTTTCTAGGAGGAATGGAGAAGGCCTGAGGATCTTCTGGGACGAACACCAAGAATCCAATTTCCTCTCCCGCTGGAACCCATGGTCCACCGATATGCCCTACACCACCTTCATGGAACACCCGATCAAAAATAGCTGCCTGAGACTTAGCCCCATCTGTCAGGTGAGTCAGGGAGGGACCACTGCAACAAAATGGTGTGTGTGTGTGTGTGAGAGAGAGAGAGCAGTGGTGGGATTCAAAGCATTTAACAACCGGTTCTCTGCCCTCGTGATGTCTTCCAACAACCAGTTCACCGAACCGCTCAGAAAGTTAACAACCGGTTCTCTGGAACCGGTGTGAACCAGCTGAATCACACCACTGTGGGGTGAGGTTACAAGGAGGAAGGTGAGTTTGATAGGCCGAATTCTCCCAGCGTGGGTTACGTTCCTACAAGATGCTGAAACGGATCGTTAAACCAACCAATGGGATTAAACCATTTTCATTAGTTTTGCAAAATAGATGGAAGGCTGGAGATTTAGGCTGGCATGTCCCCCATAAGGCAGGGGTCCCCAGACTTGGCAACTTTAAGCATAGCTGGCTGAGAAATTCTGGGAGTTGAAGTCCACAAGTCTTAAAGTTGCCAAGTTTGGGGACCCCTGCCTTAAGGCCATGGATAACCCAACCATGGCTAATATACTCCAAACTT